TATAACATGATGTTTATACATTCAATTTATTGACGTAGGATTTAACATTCTTGTATTTTTTTCACCCACATTATTTTAATATGCATTATGAACTGCCTTTTCACAACTTTATCAGTTACATTTAGTTGATTCTCCTCCAACCCAATTTTCTGAACTGTCCTTCCTCAGAGCATTTCAATGAAAAAGCAAGCTAGGTTCCTTCCCCAGCAGAGGAACTGTCACATTTTAAAGGCTGTCTGTATCAGCATTGGGCAAGAAATCCAAGTAGCATTGGAAAAAACGGATGTAGAAACAGCATTCAGACAGCCTCAGAAGATTCAACAAGGGTTCTACCTATTTGCAGTGCAATAAACAGTCAGCATTGACTGAAATTTGGAAGGGGTAAATTACGAGGCCCAAAGAACTCAAAAAGGGTAGAAGTAAAAACTTTAAGACTTCACCATGGAAGTCCACATACAAGTGTCTTTGTGATCCAATTCAGTGAGGTTTGAGCCAATTTCTTTTTCTGAGATCTGAATGTCCTCTGACAAGGCTTAACTGTGCAACTCTTGATTGGGCAAAAGTCCTTAAAATAAACTAAAATTAGCTCTTACTACATGTATATACTAAAACTCACTAATCAGAGGTTTGGACATCAGATAGACTGAGGCACTCATGGAAAAAACAGATCTCTCTATTACAATTTTATAGTTACAATGGTTTGAAGGAAATAGTCTCGCAAAAACTATTTGAGTTATTCTATCAGACAGTGGAGAATTTTTTTATTGTATGAGCCATAAAAACTACAGAATGTTTGCCAAAACACAGACCAAGGCTATCTAGCCAATAAAGAAGCTTGGAAGAAAACATCTCTTTTCATATGGTGAAAGTGTATAAAGCCATGAAGCTTCTCAGTATCACTTACAAAATGATGCCTCTTCAAAGTTCATAAAGTCAATATAATTTGACAGTAAATAAGCCTTTGCCAAGACAGAATCCACTACTGGTTTAAACTGACACTCTCACTCACTAGGAGACTTGACTAGATAAACAGAAGCAAGTGTCTCTGATTTTTACGTATTTGACATCTCACATGACCTCTTGAGAGTACACCAGAGTACTGAAACACCTGGATGACTACTCTCCAGCTACAAGGGAAGCATTTCAGAAACCTGCATGCAAGTTTTGAGACTGAAATGCTCAACATTAATAATGGCAATTGGCTACTGCAAACCTCTGGGATGGTGAAGGTTGGACCTCATATGAGTACTTCTCTTTCCAAAAAAAAAACCTAGCAGATCAAAAACCTGACAATGTCTAAAGAGGCACCTCCCAAGGTCAGTCCAACGACTGCGTGTCCACATGATTTATTACATAAGAAGTAACTCTGTACCATACAACACTAGACACATTATTTGGCTTCAGCACAAATCCCCACATGATCCCCTACAGAAAAACATGAACATAACTGCTTAGCAGTAACACAGCTACTCAGTCTTCAAGACACAACTTGTGACACAAGGCAGTACAAAATGGCAGCATACTGTACTTTATATGGGTTCCAAAACAGCTATGAATCTCCACCAGCCACTCAGCTTGCATCAACTTGCTCTAGCATTTGTCAGCAAATAGATTCAACAGGACAGACAGGAACTGCCTATAAGCAAGAAAAAAAGTTTCTACTTCTTACAACTCCTGAAAAAAAAACCAACAAACTAACAGGGTCTTTGTACATGGCTGTCACGTAGGTGCTCTGTGGCTCCTATGTACCTGCAGCCCTTGATCACAGGTAAGGCAATGCTGAGTGGACACTTTCAGGATGGCCAGATTTATATCCATTAGCTGCGTACATCTATCTCTGCCTCCTCTCTCAATTCAGACTTGACCTCTTCTATGATCTTTCATGACTCTTAAGACAGAATGATTCTTATTAACCAGCCTGGAACATTTCCTGTGACCTGAAACATCTTTAAAGGCATATTAACATATTATCATTAGTTTACCCAATCTTCCAGTATTTCTAATGTGCTGGCAACTGTGAAATCCAAAGCTAGAATCACTAACATTATGATTTCCTCCTCTCACCTGGATAAGGAGGGGAAAGATACCTTTCCCACACACAAAACCACTTTCCTTTTTCAATTAAAGTGTGCTATAAAAAGACACAACAGCACTAGAATGACATTCATCCTCACTTAAACTAAAATCACCAAACACCATAGACTTAAGATATCGGTAAAATAAAACTTAGCAGTAACAAAAAATGAAACAAAATGGAAAAATCCTTATTATTCAGTCTCTAGGAGCTTTTATAAAGCAGAAATAAAAGTGTCACAAGTTGATACAGTTTATAAACTGAAAGACTGTAGAGACTGAAAGACCACTGAAATAATCTTAAAGGACATTCAGAATTCTGCCAACACTACATTTTTGCTGCAGAAATCCTAGGTTCATGCTCTTCAAGGTGGATTTCAAGTGCTAAGGAGCAAATAGTACTAACTCAATTGGATAGCGAACTGTTTGCTGTGTCAAAGCTTTTTGCCAAACACATATATATAAATTTTTCTTTTTGCTATATGGATAATCAACCCCAGATGGCAATTTACATAGGCAAAGCATAAAGGAATCCATGCACTGCTGGTGCTCTCAGCCTCAATCAGAGCAAGCATGGGCGTTTGAGAATGTCACTGTTTATTTTTAATTGCTGTGTCCCTCCTTTGTGCAGGTTCAAGCGGTCAAAGATGTCGAAGTCCATTAGTAGAACTGGAAGGTGATGCCACTTCATTTGGTAAGAGGGTTCTTCAAATTTAAAAAAGCAGCTGGTTTGTAACGTCCCTAAATGCCCAGCGGGTACCAGCTGTCAATCTCAGTTACCATAGGGTCAGGGCAAAAAAAGGTCAGAGAGAGTCAAACCACAACGTGTTGTGAAATGTGCTTCCTCCGTTACCTCGTAGGCCTGAGAAAGGTTTGACCTTTTATAGGTATCCTAACCTAGCTCTGCATGATGCTGGCAGGGGTAAGTACAACACACAGCTCAAACTTACAAAAGTTGCTTCCTTTTACTGTGCCTTGGTTTCCATACCCATCCATGAATATGAGTATTCACTAGCTCCTAGTGGCAAAAACCAAAACTCTGCCCACCACTATTACCACTTGGAGGCATGGACACATTTTCTATTTCACACATGGCAGTGGAAGGATTCATTCATTAACAGCAATTGGACAAATAACTAGAACTTAGAGGGCTGTTAATAATGCCGTAACATCCAAGTGATCTGGCTTCTCTTTGCCAATGAGCTGTTTACCTGTTGTCTGTCACTTCAGTGACTACTCTCCCAGTCACTTGGGAAGAAAGCTTCTTTTAAAGTCCCACTGAAAGTCTTTCATACTGTCCTTTTAAACACCCATCTGCAAGCTATTCACTGTATTTTATTCCCCCTTCATACAGATTCTCAAAAAGCAGACCAATTTCTAAACATATTTGTTCAAAACATTCTTGGACTACACATGAAAAATAGTCATTTCCAGATATAATCTAGTCGTGCATTCTTTTCTTGCAAGAACTAATTACTCTGCTCTGTCTCACCCCTATCTCCCAGAGCACACAGGAAGCTTGGCCAGTGCAATGCCAAAAAGGAAAGCAGTGAACTTGCTGTGCAAGGCCCTGTTTGGGCAGGAGCTCTCCCACACTCACCAGCCTTGTACTCCTAACTACTTGTCCCTCTTTGGACCACGAGTGCAGGCAAGCCTTTGACTCCGAACAGGACACAACAGAAAAGGGAAGGAACACTGGCAAGTGAAAAGCTGGAGATGCTGAAACCAGAGCTGCAACCCCAGCAAGCATATTCCCCGCAGGAATTGAAAGCATGGCTCCCAAAATAGACTGTAAGCTGCAAATGAGAATATGGGCAGTGAGGAACTCCACTGGGGCACAGACATGATGGAGTACAGACATATCGTGTAAATCACTTCCATGCGAAGGACAGTATGATATAAACTAGATGGCCACAGGTATTGCAGAAGAGGCTGGCCACAAATTAATTGTCAGCTATCAGCAAAATATTTCAGGTGAAATCGGAATGCCTCACTTAGTCCTTCACTTGACCACAAAGAAACCAGCATGTTCACTCAATGAAGGAATAAGGTCCATACAGTAAAATGACTTGAAGATAATACTGACAGCAACAAAAGGGTCCCATCCAGGCTTGTTCACTCAAAAGCTGTCTAATCTCAGAATGTAACCAGCTGGGTCCATTTCTGAGTGGTAGTTCCAAAATACTCCACACAAGTCCTCACTTATTTAGGCAATTAATAAAAAGGGAAACTCAGAGCAGTGCAGTTCAGTATCTGTGAAACAGACTTCACCTGTTCCACACATAAAGTCACCTCATTTTCTTTTAATGGAGGAATATATTTTAAAGAAATTAAAAAGTAACAACAGCTCAGCAGTTCAAAGGCCACTGAAAGGCCTCTCTACTTTCCATAGGCTCTCTGAAGAGCCCAATGGCAGCAAGCCACCTACTGCATCCCAGCAGTTCTGGCTCCCAGAACATGCTGACATCAATTAAAGCCTCAGCAAAAAAAGAGAATGCGCATCAAGCATTTCAATGCCCTCTTCTTGTCACTTCCATTGCTTCCAGACATTTCTGGAAGCCTACTACTCAGAGTCTTTTGCAAGCATGTCTCAAATGAAAGTAACCTCACTCAAACTATGTTCAGCCCTTGAGTACATCCTATCTTGGAAATATGCCCACCTTATTTTTCTGAATTTGGAAGTCTAACGTGCTAATCTAGGTCAGTCTTCCTTCCTCTTCATCCAACTAAATTATTGAGCAGGTAACTTTACTGACTGTCTTATTTAAAAATCACTATGTCTTCTCTTGTTACAAGATGGGTTATAGTAGAGTACCAAAAAAAATGAAAATAATTGAGTAATTTCAGATTGGAAGAGAACACTCTCTTCTTTGTTGAGTGTCTCTTTCTATCAGGAAAACTGGGGGGAGTGAAAATGAGAGACTCACCTTCAGGGCAGGAATCTCCACATTGTCACCAAGGCTAACAGAGCCAGAAAGAATAGTCCCTGTCATCACTGTGCCTTGACCCTTGATGGAGAAACAGTGGTCGACTGCCATAAGGAAGTGTCCCGAGGGGTCTCTTGATGGCAGGTAAGCCTGAGACTTCAAGACCTGAAAAAAAAAAGATAAAAGCAGCACCATGCCTGGGTGAAAAGTCATGACAGCCACACAGCACAAGAAGGCAAGCGGATGATTGATTGACCGAGCTTGCAATTTTACTGATTTCAGGCATCCCCCAAAGAGCTTAGAACGCACCAATGTCAAATGAACTGTGTGTGCCACAGAGGAGACACACACTTAGCATCAGGAACAGTTCGATTTTCTGCCTTAGAAAGATTTGGTGCTGTACATTTTGCTTGGTTAGCAAAACTGAACTGGCTATAAACTTGCTGCCAAACTCAATATAAACATTGCAGCAAAGCAAAGAGGAAAAAAAAAGTAACTGTACGTGTGTTGCCCTCCCTGTTTCCCCCCCCCAAAAGCACAATTTTACAGTGCATTTTGCTACTTCAGCTTTTTTGGATTCTGTGAAAATGAACTTATATACAGATATTAGTGCCCCATAAAGCCCATCTCTGCCTCCCTCCCAGAAAAACTATTATATGGGTTAAGTTTTCAAAGTCACTTTCCCCTTCAGATTTCTGTTAACACTTCTTGGAGGATCAAACCAGTAAGAAAACAACCACATAAGTACCATTTGCTAGAGAAATTCTGAGTTTAGCGTTTCTCTTTTGCTGACAAATACTATGCTTCTTAAAATATATCACTGGAAGATGATACAAGACAGAAGACTAACTATAGAAAGGCAGTCGTGTACCCAACAGTGCTTCAGAGGAACTGGTTCACTCTTGTCTCAAATCACTTTTGATCTCTGCCTCTGTTACAACATCAGCATGTACACCTGGCACTGCCTTTAACGTCTGTTGTTAAGGCAAGAAACTGCAACTTAAGCCCAAGTTGTAATGGCAGAACAATGGAAAGAGTCTGTTTTCAAGGACAGAAAGGATAATACCTTGAAGCTCAATGGCAGGGCTCACACAGCATTTGCCAGCTCTTCTAATATCAGGTCTCAGAGTTGACAGAAACAGCTGCAACATGGGCATTTCCTTCTACGGTTTTAACCCTGGGGAACATTCCAGTAAATCTACCCAGAACCAGATGAAGGCAGGAATAAGGACTTGCATATCTCCTCCTTTTTAAACATTGAGTGGGCAGACTGGCTCTTGCTAAGCCTAGTCTAAGGCCATACTACAACCCACCCCCTAGCCCATCTCGGGCCACACGAGCCCTGGGGGATGATACAACGTTCAGTGCTCAGCAGCTCTGTGGAATATCCTGCCTTTATACAAGCCAGGCTGCTCTGAGGCAGACATCACTAGATTTTTTTGATGACTAATGCTGCACCTCAACTTCACCAATTTACCAGCATTTTTAACCCGTCAAATTCCGATTTGGATGCTGCCAAGTCTTCTAAGAATGATGCCTTTGTTTTAGGACTACTTTCCGCTGTCTGCAAGTAACAGCAGCATCCCTCCAGGACAAAAATGCTCCTTTTCCCTAGAACTAATTCACAGAAAGGATGACAAGTCTACTACAAGCTATGAATTGCTCTCACTTATTTTGTGTCCTGCCCTTCACAGTATAAGCTTCACACCATATAACTTAGGGTTTTGAAGACCTGAAAATATATCCCCCAGCCTCCTAAAAAAACCCAAACAACAATACACTTTAGCTGGAACTAAGAATACCTGTGAAGCATCAGTTTGTTTAAAGTTTTTCCTTGTTCATATTGGTCTGATATAATGTTAGTTGCACAATCACATAGTTTTTTCCATGCCCTGCCTCACTCAGGACAGAGGGTAAATTGGGCCATGCTTTTTACCTTTTGCAGATGTACAAGACATGCAACAAGCAAAGCAGAGTATCACAGAGAAAGATGGTTTCATTGTGAAGGTGCTCCTCTAGAGAATGGATTCTACACTTGCTGATGTCAGAAGCACTGTCATTTGCTCAAAAGTGAAAGTTCTCCAGGTTATCACTGACTATACACCTCAGACTGTCCAAACAAAAACCACAAAGCTTAACAGAAGTGCTAAGCACTCGCAACTGCCATCAGAATTGGCAGGTACTATGATCTGAACACAAGCATGTCCCAAAATAGTTCCTAGTTTCCTTAAATTTGGCAATTAAAATTACTAAACTCAGTGGATTTAACTCCTTTGTGCCTCAACTTACCAATCTAAATATGGATTAAAGTCACCTCTACAGTTCCCTTAGGTCTTTTAAAAGTAAATTTACTGTTTGCCAAGTGCTCAAGACCACAGTGATGTGTGCCAAGAAAAGTCCAGGAGGAAATTAATTACTCTGAATGCAGAGCAGTATTTGAATGGAGTCATGAGGCTACCCAGAGAATAATGAGCATAAAAATATGGACTACCTGTTCACTAGTCAAGTCCCATTCATCCTGTGCAAAGAACGAGGTCAGAGTTGTTTAGAATAAAGAATCATGCACTTAAACACTGGACCATAACACAGAGATGAAGGAACGAGACAATTCCCAGTGTGTAACTTTTGAGTGTCTGACTTTACAACTTTACTGTTTTCCTAACTATGGTACAACTATAAAACACCACCTACCAAGGACTTGGCAGAACGGTAAAGCTATTTTTTACTCATTATGCTTCATAATTCTTTACAGCTTTAAAGACAATTTCAGCACACTTGTGAACAGTCATTTCTTAAGACACAACTAATCAAAGGCTTCAACACCTAGTAATTGAAAAAGGAGATCCACTTTTGGGGAATTCAACCTCAACTTCTCCATCCACTGAAAGGAATCCCTTAAGAATCAGGTTCCTTAAAACTGGCATTAATGCAGGAGTTCTTCAACTCTAGATGCTAACACACTGTACTCCAAAAGACTTCAGAGAAAAATTTGAGCACATTTTATGTTATTATTATGTTCTTCAGCAGGTACCTCAATTAATTCAGAAACACCCAGTGGATTCTCAGACTCTGGGGCTTCCGGTCCACCAGGCTTTGCTGCAACAGCAACAATAGGACACCCACAGAACCTGAAAGAGAGAAAGACTCCTACCATTAGACCACAGATCTCCTACATGTGTCAATATAAAGTAGTTCCAGGCTCATCTGAGGGTTAGGAAATTCCCTCCAATTTGATTTATCTGCTCTTCCCCCATAGTGAATAACTGACAATTTCTTGCATTACCAGCACCTGCACTACTGGATTTCACTACGAAACCTGCAATCATGTTCCACATCAGCTCCTGATTCAACTCTGACAGTCAAAAGAAAGACTTCAGTTTATTTTGGAAGCAAAGGTCTATTACCCAGTCTTATTGCAGTGGGTTGCATTCCAACTCATTTTACCTGGACACAAGCACATCTTCAACTTTCATTAAAACAATTATAATCCAGCTGTAAAGTCATAACCTTCAAAACGGGAGCCAAATGCAAGATACTATGTGATGTCTACCTGAGTCTGCAAGATCTGTAGACAAGACCTAAATCTACTAAAATCAAAGTCTGCAAAACTCTGAAATCTCAAACATGCAAAGGTTCAGAGAAGAGCAGTACTGCCACAGTTACCTCAGTTTACCTTTTATCCTACAATCAATTTTTCTCTTCAAGTCCTTAATATTCAACAGGAGGTTTGAGGGTTTTTTGACTGTTTTTGGTTGTTGTTTTTTTTAACAAACTCAGTCAGTAGACTTCACTTTTGCTCCCCAAAATGCAACCTAGTGTTTGAATCATCTGATAGCTTCTTTTGCCTACATTTTAGACAGGTAACATAGACTCTAATTCAAATTTTTACTGCATTTTGGCAAAAATAAACCACATTAAATAAGTATTAAAGTAATGGCATAATAATCAGAAATAACATCAGAAAGTGATTAGTTCCCATAGATACGTAATTTTTATGCAACAGATTCCAACCAAGAGTAAGTATTGTGGTCATTTTTTGACACCCACTCCCCCTTAGGTTGTATCTCAAAAAGGGAGTGAACTGGAGGGAACACACAGTGCCTTGCTAAAGAAAAAATGCTAAGGTCTATAAAGGGAACTTATTTAGTGACCAAACAGTAATCAAGCATATAAGGTATTTTCTTTGTTTACCTGCCATAAGTTTGAGGCATCTAAGGACAAAAGGCAATAGAAATGGGCACTGAAAATTCCTGTGATTAACCATAAAACTTTTGGAAATTTATTGTCATACAAATGTTTCAGGGCACAGAAATTTATGCTGAACCAGGTGCTTTATTCCTCTTATACCAGAACAAACTGAAGCAATCACATACTGTGTTTGGAGGCACTTCCAAACATGATTCAGCCCTACTTAGACTCTCACTCCATACACCAAATTTCTGCCAGCAGAATTTAGACCCTGCTGGACAAAGACAGAAGGTGACATGTGCAAAAAAATTATGAAAAGACAGAAATTCTACTCATAGGGACTGTTTGCTTTTAGTTTTTTGGTATCGATTCACAGAAAAGCAAGTTTTTATTAGGTAAATTTACAAGCATCAAACTATTCAAATATACAACAATTACTTTCCTCTGCCTAATTTGTTGCCTTCCATAGAGTTTCCTGACAACACTACAATAATTTCCCCAGCACTGATGGCAACATCTGCTTTAAAGGTGAAACAGACTTCAGCTTTGCTTACTGCTATGGAATTGCAGGTGCATGCCTCTGTGTGTAGGGCAAATAATTATCAACAAGTAAACTCAACCAATAAACCCCACACCTCAAAAAACCTCCTTGCCAAGTGTTTGGGGCCAGAGGCTGCTGTCAAATGGTCTGAGCATAAGTCCTGTTAATAAGAGCAGCTTAGAAATAAAAGAGCAGTTAAAAAACATGCATTCGAAGATTCAAAGTCGAGTGGGAAAGAGGCTGTCAAGAAACACCACATGCTTGAGATACAACAGGACAAGCACTTCACAATCACACCCAGGTCAGCAGTGCTTTCAAAGCACTAGAAAACAGCTACAGACTACACATGCTAAAATAGAATTTTGGCTACAGGAAAAATACATAGACACAACCAATAAATGACCATTTCGAGGACCCAGAGTTCAAATGAGTAATTAAAACATTATGACAGGACCATTTCCCCCCAGGTGGAATCCCAGCTGTGGTGATCAGCTGATACACATCCGTGTTTTAAAAAGAGGGCTAGAAGTAAGGACCTCACAGTGAGCAGCTCAGCTGCTTCACAAACTCACTTCCCCTTCAGCTGTGACCAAGTCTGTTAATTTTCAAGACATCCTGTAGCAACCCATCTGTACTCCAGCATATTAAGAGATTTCATATACATTGTTTGAATTAAAAGTACTTCTGAACAGCAGTTTCCTTACAAAAATTTGTCTTCCATTTAATCAATAGGCACTGCCTTACCATCACAAAAAAGTTTAACAGGAGCTGCTATATTCAGCCAAGCTTTACTTTTTTGGTCATGGTGAAATTCTCCACTCTGTACACTGCTGCCTGCTCCTTAGGGTCTTCAAATCAAAACGTGATCCAGTAGTTATGTCCCCTTACATCCCCCAGTAAAGCAAAGTTGTGCTTCAGTTTGTGTAATCACTAAATAATTACTTTGTCTATATTGTCTCTTCCCACTTCAAAACAGCCACATTTCCCCTCATGAATCTCACTTTACTTCACTCATTATGTACCTCAACTAATGTACCTAGACAGGGCTAACAAATACTGTCCCAGCCAGAATCACAATACATCACATAAACTTCCATTATTCTGCTCTCCTTAGTTGGGGCCATCACATTTTTCATCCCAGTTATGGAAAATTCCTAACACTTCCTTTTCCCAGGAGTGAAACAGAGTTGCTGAGCATAACAAAAGTTGCAAGCCCATAAGCTAAAAACCCCCCAAAGAATCCCCCAACCCAGAGAACACCAACCCCCATAACAAACAAAACCAACCGAACACACACAAAACAGGACTTCACCTGGGTATTCTGGCTTTGCATTATCCTATCCAAACTCCAAGCAGCCCTTTAAACCTAAAAGCTTAATTACAGGAAAGTATTTCTCTGTACATGATACTTGGAGATGCAAATTTGGAACAGCACTTGAGTTTCTGGCAGTCTTTACACTCTATTCTCACTGTCTTTGCTAGATGTCTCAGTATGTTTAGAAGCACACTGCAAGGGACACGTGGGTATTTTTGTTAAACATTTTGTTACAAGTTAGCTGTCAATATGACTGTTCACTTACTTTGTATTTTCCAAGGTCTTCTGCATTTTCTTAGTCATCTTCTCAATGGCACTTTGTCTCTTCCCCTCTGGAAGGAGATCTATTTTGTTCAGAACTACCACCATCTTCTGGCAGGCAATTTGCCCAATTACCAAGCACTCTGCTGACTGTGTCTGCATCCCTTTTGTCACATCTATTACAAGCATCATCAAATCGATAATCTGGGCACCTGGAGGAGAATTCACAGTCAGTATTGCAGCAGAATAAAAAGATTAAGGATCATTTCCTCAAATGTTTCCATAAAAAAAAAAGTCAGCATATGTACAAATGCCCAGAAAGATAAACAAAACACAAGTCAAAGTAAACATCAAATGCTTGGCTGGTTTGAAATTAAGACCTTGGGAATCTAAGCTATTATACGCTACCACTGGGTCATAAAAATATGGAAGAATGCGATTCTGCTGTAATTTACATATTTCTCCATATTGATAGATCAAGTCTAAGGATGTTGTCACTGCATTTAAAAAAATTATTAGGAAAATTAACCTTGCAGCAACACAAGCATGACATTTGCCTCAATTACAAATGATAATCCGAGAAGCTAAGCATGAATGCAATGCAGCCAAAGAAACACACAGCAACACTGCAGAGAGCTGCACACTCAGAGCAACCCCAGAAGTGCCAAGATATGTCATGGAACTACACCCACACTCCTACAAATCCTACCTGCTTCCCACCATTTTTCTCTCAAAGCCCAAAATTTGACAAAAAGCAAAACCAAAATGATCACCACCAGAGACAGGTTTATCAAATAAATTCCTGCAATCCCTCAAGGTGAGCAAGAGGCAATTTAAAACCTGCAATATATTGTCATTCCCTCCCAGTTCAGATCCACATAACTTGAAGATGCAACTTCAAACACAGGCACAAAGATATCTGCTTCTTAGATCTCTACATGAAAAAGCTTCTGTATTTTAGGCTGAAGTTTCCTATCATGCTCATGGATTATTTTTATTTTTCAAAGTATTGTTGTCATGATCCCCTAATCTTTGGATTGAAGCAACCTGAATTTCATGGATTTAAATTAGCTTTCAAGGAACTGATCTTTGGGTCTTTCACTAATTACATTCAGAATTTTCTTGTTTTGTTCCAGGTATCTCAAATACCCTGAATACCAAAATAGTAAAGTGCAACAGACTTTAATGTTGAGAAAGTTTAAACATAAAAAACTTCAACAAAATTTAACGCTGAACTTTAAATGTGCAAAAAAAAGCACATTTGAAAGATAATAGGAGCCAGATATCATGTAAAATTACATCCTGAACTTTAGTACTTTTAATATTTGCCTGAAGATCAGAAGAACAAGAAATTGCTACAACTGTTCCTTGTTCTTTGCCCTCTCTAGCCTTTCCCCTGCCTTCTTTTTTTTTTTTTTTTTTAAGGCTCTTACAATGGCTATGACAACAGCTACCCTTGTTCCTAATTCCCATGAACTCCGAGTAGGAAATAATTCTGAGGTTGAAGTGCATGGGTGAATGAGCGGGTGGGAGCTACAAGAAAAAAAGTTATGGTTGCAAATGACTATTTTCAACCTACCAAAGCTTTCATCTAGTAATAATGAATGTTAAACCCTTCAGAGTGCAAGTTGGGTAATTCTGATGTTCCCAATGTTCCTACATAATTTTCACCTATCATTTCCAAACTGCAGGTAGGCTTTATAACTTCAAAAGCCGTTTGCATTTTTATTGTTTCAAGAATTGTATTGATTTAGAACTTGCTTGAACAACAACATAAATGTCATCGAGGCTGTACGAAAGGCTCAGACTATACACACACAGCAGTGCAGACCTAAAGGCCAGGAAACGAGTGGAACAAACAGCATGAAAACAGTTTGAGTGGGACAAAACACTTATTAATCAGAATGGATCCACTTTGGTGAGTACACACAGCAGGGCTTTTTTAAACTTTACACACATATTTTTTATAACACTTTACCACACAGATATTCACACTACACAGCTGATATCCTTAAAAATGAATGGGATTTAATAATTAAAACCAAACCATCAAGTCTAATTGATTATTAATACTATTTAAAAGTGCATCCACCGAAATAACAATGCTGCAGCCTAAGTCATAGCTAACTATCCTATGACTACTAGAGCACAGCAATCCTTATGCTCCAGAGCTAAGCCAAAGTAACCAAACAAGAATCTGGCCTTGAAAAGTGCAGCTGATAAGATGCATTATATATGGTGTTGTATCTCGTCCCTCCAACAGGACACAAAATCTGCACTGAGCTGCTATGCGCAGTTTCAGTACAAGAGCCACTTTATCTTGAAACACTAAATCAACTGCTTTGAATACATTTGTTATAAAGCAAACGCTTGTAATTGCTGTATTTATGAATCTATTAGCAACACTTTAAAAGAACCATAAAAATCATCAACCCAGTTGCTAGAAGGTCAAGAATGTCTACCTCGGGGCATTTCACAGCAAAGAGAAGATGAACAAAGGAAAAATAACTGTAGGGTCCATGGAAAAAACTCCAGAAACACCAGAAAATATACCATGACACTTCAGACAAAAAATATTACAAGTCAAGGAAACAGCAGCACACACAAGTTCACAAACATTGTTGGCACAGCTATTGTGCCTCCTTCAAAGCCTTAACATGCTGACTGGCCACAGTTCATAAGAGATGGCACAAGATGCAACTGAAGGCACTGCAGGCAGAGAGCTGGCACAAAAGTAGGGTGGGAAGCTGTTGCCCTTCAACAGAGTCCTGGAGCCAAGAGAAGGATCAGGACAGCACTGACAGAAACACTTTAACTGCATTCTCAGAACGTTTTGTACATGGCTACTCATGCATATCAAGGCATGAGTGCTCAAGTTTACAGGACCTTCAGGTAACAAGGTGAAAAAATAACGCTAAGAAGTAATTTCTCAACTTTGCTCTTTGAGCAGTTTAATAAGCCACCTGTGACAATCCACCTTCTTCCCAATCCCTCAACCTTCTCCTACAGAGTTTTACATTTTGTTTTATTCTAGAACCCATTCCCTTAGCTGCCCATCATCCATGCATAATAGGTCATTAAATCCTAAAACAAAATAATCTAGAGAAGTCAAAACAAAGCACAAAGAGATTCACAAATGTCACATTTCCAATCAGGAAAGTTGTCAGGTCATTTGTAACAAGATGACAAAACTATAAGTCTCTTCCACTTAACATGGAACACCTCATTCAGTAAACCTTTTCCTCATAGCATGCAAATGGTAAGAGCAGACTTAATATATGCTGACATTCATAACCACTGCTTAAAAATATCTCTAGCACACTGGTAAACAATCAACTCTCTACCACACTGGAGTTCAGTCAACAAAAGGAACAACATTTCTGACTAATTTTCTACAGCAGCATAAGATTTAACTAGGAATGGTTAAGTGAGGATAGATTATATGAACATTGTCAAGCATGCAATGTCACTTGGAAAGATCTTTCCACTGGGACATTAAAATATTACAGTCATACTAAGTGGAGATTCCAAAACCAGTAACAAGAATAAAACAAGGTGAAAATATCGCTCAATAAACTTGCACTGTCTGATTGGAGAATGCCAGCCACGGGCTCTTGTGCAAAATGGAACAGAGGAGAATTGAAACACTTAGCTTTTGCTAAAAAAAGAAGACAGGATACAGTCCTACACAGTCAAGATGAGTGATATGCAAGAGATTATGGAAGAGTTGAGTGTTTCTCAAGTCTTCAAGGCAGGTAAATGGCTTGAAATTACTCTGAAGAAAGCATAGACAAGCAAAGAACAGGTCTGCATATAAGGAAGCTCAACAATCAGAAATATTTTATCTGTATTGAAGCAAGTCATATAGACTCAATGACAAAGTTAAACTAAGGTACTCAAATTATTTCTTCTACAGAAAAAACAGGGGTATAACCTTTTATTTGCCATTTCATCTCTGAATGAGGTGTTTGAGAACATTCAGAAAGATAAAGATTCCTTCTGACGTGTGATTTCTCACTTTGCTTGAAAATGAAAGATCAACTCTCAGAGTACCCTTTGTGTGATGACACACAGCTCAGATGAAGCCCTGTAAAAAGCAAAAGAAACAAACTAGTTGTCATCACAAACACAGGGAGGGGGGGAGGAGGGGGAAGATGGGAATTATATTGCAAAGAAAAGCAGCTAAACCACAAAAAAAATAAAGGAAAGTAGATAGTCTGAGTGAAGAAAAACAAACAAGAAAGATAAAACATGAACTGAGAGAATCTGGATGACAGCCAGCTACAGGAAAAAAACACAAGACCAGCAGCATAGCATCACAAAGACTGCAAATGCCAGCTAAACCTGGAGGTTGTAGCACTCATTGGTACCACAGCGATGACAGGGGACATGGAACTCAGATATTAAGAAAAACATCTTCACAGACAAGATAAAGTCCAGCAACTGCTTTGAACAGTCACGACCCACTCTTGCTCCTGAATTTTGGGGAGTATCTGATTATAAACAGCCATCAGGGAAGTAATTTATTACTCTCTACTCATGAGACTATTTGTATTGCAAATGTCATAGATTAATTAGGACAAGTTTCAAAAGTGCAGAAGGCAGCAACTCAGTCTCCCTAAATTGGCCATGGGCTCCATTTCTCTAAGGGAAGAGTAAAACAATACCACTTGCATCACATCATTCACAGCCAGCTCTCACTCTTGATCCTGAAAGTACTCACCAGTTGCTGCCTGACTACACAGAGAAAGAACAGTATGTATTGATGAACTTCTAATCTTTAAGATAAAATTCACTGCATTCCCTGCACTTGCATTATTTAGCATATGTTCAAACCTGTACTGAAATAGGAGAAAGGCCTACCCAGAGTTCTAGGCAATGAGACTGCAGATCTTCATCCCCTGCATCAAATTCACTCCTCGTACACGTGTTTGGAGTCACACACTCCTTTGATTTCCACACAGTAAGTAAAGAACACTTGATTTTGCTCACTGAAGCTGAAGTAGACAAACTCTGCAATGTTTACATGCTACTACCTCATATCCTTACACCAAAAACCCCATACAATTAGTAAAAGCCAGATTTGTTGCAACAGTACTGACAGGGAAACACCACGGGAGAACCCAAGCTAAGGTTTGTGAAAATGCAGCCTGTAAAGCACTACAATTGCCATGTTTCATTTTGGAACAGAGCATTGCATCTTAAATAACAA